AAATACCCCTCCCCTCTTTTTTCCATTATAGACAGAGAGTGCATGGGCTGAAGAATACGCTGAAAAGAAGAAAGGGTCTCACAAGCGCTCAGCATCCTGGGGAAGTACAGATCAACTTAAGGAGGTCAGGAAAATGGTTGTAAGGGAGTGGGTGTGGAAATTTGATCCTTTTGTTGACTAGTTCCTCGAAGTTGTGGGCAGCAAGTATTTATCATTTTCCATTTAATTTTTTTTTCTTTTTGACTTGAGAAGTAACGGAAAAACAGTTATTGTGTTGATCTGATAAAAGATTTAAATAAGGAATATACACATTACTTACCTGATTATATGTTTTTGTCCTTTTTTTTTTTTTTAGAGGAGTCCATACCTGTCAATATAATATAAACCTCAGTTTTATAAAATTGTAGTGATATAACAAATTCACACTTATTAATTTTCTATATATGGTAGTGTTTCTGAAATGCAGTAACCAAGTATAACTACGTTGATTATGGCTCTATGCTGTGATTAGCTTTTCATGCCTCTATGTAATGACATTTGCATTTTACACATAATGTAGAAATAAAAGAAAAATTCAATAAAGGAATAATATGGGATATTCATCGAGATTGCATTTGTTATTTAAAGATATTCGTGAATGTATTTCATGGCTGGAATTGATTTTTAAATACTGTATAATTCTTGGAGCTGTTGAAGGTTAGGTGTTCAATAAAGAAATCTAAATAAAAGTTGACTTATGGCAAGGGCAATGAGAAAAACTGTTATTTTTTTAATTCTTTGTGAAAGCTGCAATGTAATTTATTCTAAGTACTGAAAAGTTTGTGTAGTACTTAAGAAGCTTGAAGACCCAGAACAATGTTGGAACATAATTTTGTTTCTCTTAAAAGAAAGACACATATATACATACATATGTGTGTGTGTGTGTGTATATATATAAAATATTCTGTACAGTAAATAAGATTTTGTGGTATGGTTTAAGAATTCAGAGGACTTATTAAGGATGAGTTTTACTGGTTCTGATTAAGTAAGAATATGTTTTTATTTAGTGTGGAAAACACTCTGGTGTACTTGTTATTTTTTACCTTTTCAGATTGCAAAATTACGCCAGCAGTTGCAGAGAAGTAAACACAGCAGTCGGCATCATCGAGATAAAGAAAGACAGTCTCCATTCCATGGCAACCATGCAGCTATTAACCAGTGTCAGGTAGGAGCACAAATACCACAAAATCCAGAAAAAGGAATTTGTGATTTCCTGGTGATTTGTTATTTTGTTGGTAATTTTTCAGGACAAAAATATTCAAAAACATATTTGAAATAGTGATTTAAATACTGAATCACAGCTTTTATAAGAAAACAATATTTTCCTTTAGTGGCTTGAGATATGACTTCTAAGAGACATAGCTAATTATTTTGATTTACCATATTTTTGACTTTTATCAGTTCAGAATATTGAGGCAGAATAATACAGAGACATAAACATTGACTGTGGAACAGACCCTGCACTTACCCTTTTTAAGTCTCAGTTTCCTTATCTAAAGATTGGGGATAATAATGCCTGTCTTATAAAGCCTTTTGGTAAGGAAAAACCTTTATCTGCTTTGATTCCTTAATAGAGCCCTATGAACTGCCCTTGATGGCTCACTCAGAGAGCACTTTTCTTTAACTGAATTGAAATTGGCTGAGGTCTCTTGACAAGGAGAAAGCAAGTTCATTTCAGGTCCTATAATATGATTGAACTTTTCAAGTCTCCTAAGTGAAGCTTTGAGAATGGGAGAACCTAGATTCAATTTTTCTATCTCAACAGTAAGGCAGTAGGACCTGGGAGGTAGAGGGAAACTAGAAGGCTTAGTTCTGTGACTTTCAGATTATTTTATAGTATAGTGTTAACAAACTGTGGCCTGGAAACCAAGAATGACCTGCCACCTAGTTTTGTAAATAAAGTCTTACTGGAATACAGCCATTCTTATTTTTTATATATTGCCTATGGCTCCTTTTTGAGCCACAAAAATATACATTTGGCTCTCTGTATCCATGGGTTCCGCATTCACAGATTCAACCAACCATGGATCAAACATATTCACGAAAAAACAACAATAGAGGCCAGGCGCGGTGGATCACGCCTGTAATCCTAGCACTCTGGGAGGCCGAGGCAGA